AAGCAACCCACAATGCTCACGTGAAACGTGACATCACGCGTGGAATAAGAGTGATTAAAACATGACATTTAATGCGAATTAAAGGTCGCCGTATGTCTCAAATGATTTCACTTTTAAAAGTAATTTCTGAGCCTTAAAGAAAAAAATTAAGAATTTTAGGAGGGATTCGAACCCACGACCCTTTAGTTGCCAGTCAGACGCTTTTCACTAGGAACGGCGCGAGCGTCTGGCACGACAAAAACGTGCTTTTTGGTAAGAGCGTTTTTGCAAGCAAAGTAGTTTCCGGAGTCACGCTTTTTGGTCTGCACCAAAGATGCTGGGAAGAGGAACCTTTACAGCACAGTATGTTTTTAAAACTCCCCCCTCCCCCCCTTCCCCCCACACACACACATACACACGCACTTCTTTATACAGCGGAGCTGTTAAGGGTTAGTTTCCCCAGTGTTGTGTCCGTCAGCAAACAAATGATGACACTAAACTCTGGAAAGCTACCGCCATCTATAAATGACGACGGCAACCAGAGAACCGGCTTGCCGGTTGTCTGGTTGCCGCTGTCGCGCATAGATGGCGGCAACCTCTCCAGCCTTTCCACTCTGCATGGCTTGCCGACTTGCGCCCGGCCATTGCTTCATTCCCACCATAGTACAGCATCGCTGGTCTTCCTCTTACACCAGAGTGGAAAGGCTGAATGTATACCTGAGGAATTGCCTCCTCCGTTGGTGTGTGTTCATTCGACAATTTTATTTGACACTTGTTAACCGCAACCCTTCATTCCTTTTATTTCGCACCCCGTGAAGTTTAGATGGGTCATAAAACGACTTCGGGTTGGAATGTTAATGGCTTTTCCGAGGCGTACTGGACCTCTGGCCCAAGTATACTCGCACAGGCCGCATCTAATTCAGAAGCTTTTTTGTCGCGGTGAAATTGCGAGGATTAAATGAGACTATTTCTTTTAGTCTTGCCTTCCCAAAGATTGATGTCGCAATTGTAGGATCAAAACCACCCGCCTGACGACAGTCGAGTGCGGCTCATGGATTGGACAGGAGGACTGCGTGAGCACCGTACATCGGCTCGTAACAATCACTGTCTTGGCAGACACTTGGGTAGAGCCTCGTGTCCAACCACTGCGGTAATGAGAATAGCCGAACTCTAACAATGCCTGGAGCTGAGCACGCGTTTTCTTCCTTTAAAACTCCAGCTCGGGGGTATTATTAACGGCAAAAGATAGGCACAAGGCCACGTGGCCGCTTCTGGCTCCGAGTTGAAGGGATGAACGATGCTCATATTTCTCGAATTTTTTGGCGACTGCCATTGCCTAGAAAAAATACCAAAGCTAAGTTCAAGCAGTTATTAACGTTAAAGAGTGATCCTGAGCAGTATTTAGTGATGTATAGAAATATTTTTAAAGCTCCTTTAAGCAAAGTACAAAGGAAGTCGAAACTTGAGCAATAACTTGAGAACGACGCTCGCGTGAGACTTACAGCGACTGCCAACGTTCGGCTGTTCTTCATAGGCACTAAAATATCTTATTTTTTTAGGTATTCCTTCCGTACGCACATGTAGTTCTATGTAACGTCATATCAATAAGTCGCATTAGGTAATTTCAGTGCTTCTATTCTCAGGGACATCTTTCGGATGCAGTTCAGCAAAAACGAAAAGATATTTGGGTGCCTCAATAATAAAAAATGGGTCTTGCAACATTTTTTTTTGTACTTTCAATAAATAGTGTTAAGAAATAACCCCTAACGTTGATAGCTTGCGGAAACATCCATTTGTTTTCCCCTAATAGCAGATGTACAAAAAATAAAGGAAAGAGACAGCTGTCGATATCTCCTCAACTTGCAATTTAAACAAGCGGCCACGTGATCTGATACCACCAGTGTTCATCACAGTCATGCTCTAGGCAGCTAGGGGTTGGAAAGCAAAAGCTTGGGCTGAGCTTCAGATATTGTTAGAGGGGCACTGACACATCAAAATCATATTTTCTTTATTATCCGAAACGATTGAAAACGATGCCGGGACATTACCCTCAAAATTTGAGATTTGGGAATTCAGTATTCGTGAAGTAAAAAAACAATTTCCAAATGCCGAATTCGAAGTTCCCGCGCGATCGGCGCCGGTGCCTTGACGTCAAAAATTGAGGAGACCTGAGAGTCCACTTCCTTTCACCACTCCCTGCTGTTGCCATGGCGACCCAAAGCGAGGAGGAAGGGAGTGAGCGGCGGCGTTGCGGCGGACCGGTTTTGAGCGGTGTCGCCTGTTTTCCGTTGGAGGATACAAATCCAGGAGACGGCACCACAACGAACTCCCGATTTTTGGTATTTCAAAAAGAAGGGCCGTAGTGCGTTCGCAATTGCGTTAAAAAACATGTTTTAGGATTGCCGTAATTAAATGTTATAGAGATGTCGCCTACAAAGCTTCTAAATTTCCTGATTTTTGACGTCACCGATCAAAAGAAGCGAGGAGGCGAGAGGCGGGAAAATCAAACGCCAAAAATAAAAAGGCGCGCGCGCGCGCGAGAAAATTTTTTTTCGCGATGCGGTTTTTTTTGCGTGTCTATGACTACAACTTGCATCGTTTTAGACAATAAAAATAAATACGACCTTTGGGGTGTCAGTGCCCCTTTAAAGTAGGGCTATTATCATATTTATTTGACATGAGCCGTTACCCGAATGTTTAGCGGTGCTGATTGTCACGAACCCGAGCACTCGACTAGGGGTTATGAAAATCGCTTACGTCACGTTGTCACGTGACTCTCGGTGCGAAATCATGATGTCATGTCCCGTCATGCTGTCAACAATGTTAATACACCTAGTGACTTCCTCAAATGAAATCGAGTTGACGCAGTGAGTCACGTGACGTCACGAGGTCACGTGACAACATGTATTGACACCATGACGTCACGTGACAACGTGACTGTCACAGGCTCGTCCGGGGTTGGTAAGAAAAGGGTCGGGAGACAGAGAGTTAGAAAAAAAAAACAGGGCATATATTTGCACACACAAAAGAAATATCAGTATGGAAGGAACAAATGTAATAGGACTACAAGTAAAGTCACAAGAAAGAAATAAGCAGTTCGAGCTCCTAGAGATTCACCGGCATATGTCGTGACGAGGCTTGGTTCCTGGCTTCTGTAGACGCTCAGTCCAGGGACGGTTTTGAGATGGCGTAGATGCTCATGCCTCCGCTGTTCCCTTCACACCGTGCGTAGCGGCGGGTTCTGGTTCAGGTCGTCGATACCGGGACACAGCCGGTCAGATCCTTAAAGCAGCTGCCGAACGTCGCGGCTCGTGCTCTTCACGCCCCTTTTTTCGCACCCGTCACTTCGTCCTTCACGTTCTTCCTTCCACAAAACCATGACACCCCCCAATTTCAAGAAGTTTATAATATAAACTTTTCTTTCTTGATGCCTGGTCCTTCCGAGGACTCCGTCCTGACGTCACCGAGCACAAGCCACCCCCACAATCCTCCTACACGACACTTTCACGACACGACCTTCTCGATGACCTTGAAACGACGTCCGGTTTCACCGCACCACACTTGGCCGGAGGGCCCTCTCCATCCACATTCAAATCGAGGATTTCTTTTGTGAGAACTCACTGTAGCCACACACATATGCAAAGGCCCCGTCTTAAGTCTGACAAAAGACGTTGGCACACATACAACACAAAAAGATATATATACATTGAGGGAACCCATCCTCTTCGGGGTCTCGACTAGTTATCCCTAACAAAAATCTTAGTTTAAAAGAAAAATAAACGTCTAAATGCGGCTAAGAAAGTCTGCTCCCACGTTATCCCTGCCCTTTATGTATTCCACGTGAAAGCTATGATCTTGCAAAGCCATACTCCACCTCATCACTCGCCTATTTGTATGCTTAGCTTTGTTTAGGAATTCCAGTGGTTGGAGGTCGGTCTGAACTCGAAACGTTCTGCCGCACAGAAGCAACCGAAATCTGGCAACGGCCCATACCAATGCCAGACATTCCTTTTCTATCGTTGCGTAGTTCCTTTCTGCGGTGCTGAGCTTTCTACTGGCGTACGCCACGGGATGTAGCATTCCATCCTCTTCTTGAAGCATCACTGCACCCAGACTCGCGTCAGACGCGTCTGTCCTTAGCACGAACTCCTTCTCGGGGTCTGGCGCCAGCAAGATGGGAGGACGTCCCAGCTTGGTCATTAGTTCATTGAAGGCCTCCTCTTGCTCCGGCCCCCATTCAACCTCATTGCGGGCTCCTTTTCTGGTGAGGTCTACTAACGGCGCGGCAAGACCCGCATAGTCCTCTACGAACTCACGGTAGAACCCCGTGAGTCCAAGGAACGATCTTACTTGTCGCTTCGTTCGCGGTCTTGGTACGTCTTGAATCCGTTCAATGATCTTAGGGTCCGGTGATATCCTTCCCATTCCAATCTCGTGTCCCAGAAAGCTGATCTCCTTAAAGCCCACTTCACATTTCTTTGGCTTTACGGTAATATTAGCCTCGCGCAGGCGCCTAAAAATGCAGCGAAGCGTATCAACGTGCTCTCTCCACGAGCTTGTAGCGATCAGGGTGTCGTCGATGTAGTGGTGTGAATCTGGGATGCCGTCTAACAATTTTCGCATCAGTTTCGTGAATGTCGCAGAAGCCGTTCTTAAACCAAAGGGCATGACCTTGAATTGGTAAAGCCCACTCGTCGAAGAGAAGGCAGTCTTTTCCTTGGCCTCTTCTTTCATGGGTATCTGCCAGTACCCTTTTGCTACATCAAGCTTCGAGAAGAAGCGCTTCTGTCCCGCCTTAGCAAACGTGACGTCGATCCGTGGTATTGGTTCCGCATCGGGCTTGGTCACGTCATTGAGCCTCCTGTAGTCAATGCAAAACCTGTTTGACCCGTCTTTTTTCTTTACCATTACCACTGGCGCGTTGTATGATGAGTTACATTTCTCAATCACGTCCAGCTCTAACATCTCGTCGATTTCTTGCTCGACTGCTTCCAGAACCGACAGCGGCAGTGGGTACTGCTTCACATTTCTGGTCGGGACGTAGTCAGTTGAAGGTCACAGGTCAGCAGACTCGTCCTGCCTGGAAGGTTCGAAAATATATCTTTGAAGTCCTTAATCAGCTCTCGTATCTCATCACGCTTTTGGGATTCCAAGTGTTCGTTTATGTTGACGTCTTCCCATCCTTGCTGCCTCGTCCAGCTTGGCGTAGGAATTCCCTCTGTATCTTCAAAACTTAGCTCGCTTGCGACTTCATCTTTCTCTTGAGAATACATTACCATACCGCAATGTTGCCTACCTTGTTGACTTCCTTCTCTTTCTTCATATCTTTTAAGCATATTGATGTGAAACACCTTTTTCTTGCCTCCTACGTCTAACTCGTAATCCACATCATTCTTTCTTGCGACTACGGGGAAGGGACCTTTCCATTGCATGATCATCTTGTTCAGATCGGTGGGGAGCAGAATGAGCGCCAGGTCTCCTTGCTTCATATGTCGGTTGCAGCTCTTCCTGTCATAGTATTTCTTATACTTCTCCCTTGCTTCATGCAGGCATACATGCGCCAGCTTGCATGTTTCCTCTAGTTTTTCCCTTAGTTCCAAGATGTATCCATATGTCGTCTTCATGTCTTCCTTCGGGGCTTCGTTCGACCACAACTCCTTGAGGATGGCCAGTGGTCCTCGTACTCTTCTCCCATATAGCAGTTCAAATGGCGAGAACCTGAGGCTAGCCTGGGGCACCTCTCTGTAGGCGAAAAGCAAAGCTGGGAGATATCTATCCCAATCCTTTGGTCTTTCTTTGCACATCCTCCTTAGCATCTGCTTGATGGTGCCATTAAACCTCTCGACCAGGCCGTTGCTGATGGGATGATAGGGTGTGGTTAAGAGTTGCTTCATCGATAGAAGCCGGCTCACCTCTCTCATTAGCTCAGAGGTAAAGTTGGTGCCGCGATCGCTAAGGATCTCTGCCGGTACTCCATACCGCGTGAACATCTGAACCAACGCCTCGGCTACCTGCTGGGACCCAATGCTCTTCAACGCTACTGCGTCAGGATACCTCGTGGTCATGTCAACCATTGTAAGAATATACCTGTTCCCCGAGCTTGCGATAGGCACTATAGGACCGATGATATCTATCGCGACTCTTTGAAAAGGTGTCTCGATGATTGGCATGCTTCCTAAGGTGGCCTTGCCCACCTTGCCTTTGGGTACGGTGCGTTGGCACACGTCACAGGAACGAACGTACCTTTTGATTTCGCTTTGCATACATGACCAAAATAATTCTTCCGCCACCAGATTGAGGGTGTTCTTCGCCCCCTGGTGTCCGGACATAACACTGTCATGTGCCATAGTTACAGCAGCGGCCCTGAACCTTTTTGGGAGAACCAGTTGTTCTGATCTTCTGCCGGATGAGTATACGACGCTCCTGTATAGAAGGTCGTTCTTCAGCAAAAACTGAATCCTTGTCCTGGAATTGTGTTTCTTCGTTGTCTTCCCTACATCGTTGAAACACTTCGTAAGAGTAGCGTCCTCTTTCTGCTGCTTTCCGAGTTCCTCGGCTGTTGTGTCGGTTACTGACACCTGCGCGACTTTCAGAGGGCGTTCTAGTTTTGTTATTGGTCTTCCAGCTTCTCTCCCCTCGCTCGCGGACGCAGCTACGGCTGGTTTCTCATCCGGGAGCTCGTCGATGCTCTTGGTTGCTTCCATTGCCCTGTGACAGCCCACGTTGACTCCGATGGCGTTCGAACACGTTTCGAATCTCTCCTTCGGCTTGTCTAGGCAGTCGCCGAGATTGTCTTCATTGTTCTTTTCCTATTCTGGGTCAGGGTCATTAGCCTCACGCATTTGCGGTATGTTTCCCAGTATCAAGTCGTACAGGCCCTTAGCAAAAAGAGACCGTACTTCAAACGAAGTTGAAATATATTGAATACGAATATTCATTTTGTATTTATTCTGTATTATTTTGGCCGCATTCGAAATACGCGCGTAAGGTATTCAAAATACATTATAAATATGAATCAAAAAATATTCAACATTATCGCTTCACACTCAAGATATCATTTGTGCATTAAAAACCGGTTACACAATTTTTTTTTTATTTTCGATTTTGTCAGCAAATGGTGACATCTCACAAAGCTACATAGGAAATGAACACAAACACAAACACCATGACGCACTGAACGGCTCATACACAGTCCCGCTGACTGCTCTAGAGCCTTATATAGCCTACTTATTGAAGGTAATCATTTTTTCGGTGACCACCTCTGCGCTTATTAAGGTTCCAAGTATACGATCTTCTCCTCGGGAGTCTGTCAAAGGGGAAACAGTGTTTTTAAGTTCGTGGACGATATCTCTTACTAAAAAGCATTGGTACAACTAATAACAATTCGGCGCAGTCCCTAAAACAATATCCACACAAACGGCTCATAAAATACATGTTATTGCTTCTCTGCGTAGCACCACTCAGGACGAAGCGAATCAAAGCAGTTTCTTCACTTTAAAATACTGTAAACGACTTTATTTTTGTGAGGATCTAATTCTCGCAATGTTCGCGAATTGCCTACAATTCCGAAAAATAGCTCCCGTGAACAATTCCGCCAAAATGTAAAAACATTAAAATCTATATTGCGATCCCAGCGCGTCGCAAAAATTAGGATTTGCGAATTATTCCAAAACTCCAACTTTGACCTAAATCGCGAAATATTGAGCCCCCGAAAAATAAATATTTTACAGTAGTTATTTAGCCTTTCCTTTTTAGTAGTTGACTATTTAATATGGTAGTTAATGTCACTATATTAAAGTCACTATTCACATCACATACAGTGGTGAGTATACCCGTTCAGTGAACTAACATTGTGCTAACAAAACCACGCCAAACGTATCTGTTCACAGCACCGGATGAAGCTTTCCAGAATCAGCAAATGTTGTGGTTGTAGTTCCCGAACCCCGTTTGTGATTGGTGTGCAAGGAACTGATCAGGTGTGTTCTTGATAGAAAAAAGGAAACAATAACATAAACTGGGCTGATTTATCAGTGCGATGCTGCGCAATTTAGTTGACAAACTAATCAAATGTTGTATTTAGGCGCTTTAGTGTACTCCATATCTGCTTGAAGTGAACTTCTAGAAGGGGAGCTTTTCAATATTTTGGTAGTTTAAGTCAAACTACCGAAGTATTGCAGTCAAAAGGTACATAGAGTATAACACAACAGTATGTACGATTTTAAGGTATTTTAAGAGTATTCTGCACGTATTTCTGATTGCTCCATTTTTTTAGGGTTGGAGTATATTTTGCATGAATTAAATAAATATTTCAAGAAATATATGTGAAAGGTATTTTGTGGCTATTAATTTAGTATTTACATATTTCAAAACGCATGAAGGGAACTTCAAATGTAGTTTAAGTAAAGGTATTTTAAAATGATTTTTAGAAGTATATTCTAGTACTAAGTAAAAAAAAAGAAGTTTATATTTTCGGTCTATTTTTCGTGTACTTACAATTATGAACTGTATTTCAAATACACTCAAATTAAAGTGTGGTATATTTCAAACGTATTAGTTTTCGCTAAGGGGGGGGGGGGGTTACTGACGCACTTCGCCGTTACCTTTCCCGTGTAGTAGGGCGTTCGTATCACAATAACCGCCTCCGGCAGGTACCGAACTGTTTGATCTAATAAAAACACTGGACTCGACTTTCCAGTTAGGTTCTCTTGAGGGACCAGTTCTTTGCGAACAACCACGGTGTTGCAGCCGGTGTCCCTTAACACCGTTATCTTGTGTTCTCCCAGTCGTCCTTCCACTACCGGCATGTTCTCCGACAGAAATTTCGGGGCCCTCCCCATGACCGCATTCACTACCGGTATCTTGTCACCATTATCCAGGGTGACGTAGGAATCGTCGGCGTTTTCGCAATTATCTGTTGGCACCGTGTACAAGCACGACGCCTGATGTTTCTCGCTCTGCCTTCCCTTACAGTTCTCTGCCTTGTGACCACTACGGCCGCAATTCCAACATGTCAGTGACCTCATAGCTTGGCCGTTACTTCTGCAGTTTTCTGCCTTGTGCCCAATCTTCCCACAAAGGAAGCAGCGGATACTCTTTCGGAGACCACCCCTTGCGTGTTTATCTTCGTTTCCAGCGTCTTGCCTGTTTGTCGCCTCGTCTCGCTTTTGCTTACCAGTGCTATGCTGCAGCTGGGCCTCCAAGAAGAGGTCAGCTTTAGCTGCTATGTCATCCAACCTCTGACAGTCGCGCTCTCTCAGGAAGACCGTCAGCTTGCTCGAGCATGTCAACAGAAATTGTTCCACTAGGGTATTGTCTCGCAGTGATTCGAACGTTTTCTCAACTCCCGCTATCTCGAGCCTTCTATCAAAGTACCCTGCCAGTCGAGCAGCAAATTGTCTCATCGTTTCGCCGTCCTCGGGTTTGGCGTCGCGAAACCTCTCGCGGTATCCTTCTTTAGTGTAACGAAATCGCTGGAACAGCGCCAGCTTGACCTTGGCGTAGTCTAGAGCATCTTCAGGTGTCAGTCGGCCGACCACCGTCAGCGCCTCTCCGGTCAAACATAAGCCTAAAGTCGTGGCCCACTTCTCCACTGGCCAACCCAGCCCTGTTGCGGTACGCTCAAAGCGCTGCAAATAGGCATCTAGATCGTCCCTTCGTTCATTGAACTGTGGGATCAGTTTGTGGGGACTTCCGTGACTCCCTCGGCCTGACTCTTCCCCGCGGCCGCTTTCCGAATTTGCGGCACCTTCACCTCGCCCTTCACGAGCCGCAATCCTCAACTGCAGGACCTCTCGTTCCTTATCCAACTTCGCGCTTTCGGCCGCTAACATTCTTTGAGCCGCCTCACGGTCCTCCCTAGCGTTATCGCGCTCATGAGCTCTCTCAGCTCTCCCACGCGCTCTCTCCTCATCAACCCATTTTTTTAACTCGTCCCCAGTATACCCCAATTCCTTAGCTGCCGCGATTATTCTATCGAGCTCCATAGTAATGCACCAGTCTCAAACCTCCGTCTCCTCTCTCACCTCCCGGAAAACGAACTAGGATGTAATGGGCCGCGAAATCCTGGCAAGCTCGCCAAATTGTCACAGGCTCGTCCGGGGTTGGTAAGAAAAGGGTCGGGAGACAGAGAGTTAGAAAAAAAGAAAACAGGGCATATATTTGCACACACAAAAGAAATATCAGTATGGAAGGAACAAATGTAATAGGACTACAAGTAAAGTCACAAGAAAGAAATAAGCAGTTCGAGCTACGGGGCTATCGTCCTAGAGATTCACCGGCATATGTCGTGACGAGGCTTGGTTCCTGGCTTCTGTAGACGCTCAGTCCAGGGACGGTGTTGAGATGGCGTAGATGCTCATGCCTCCGTTGTTCCCTTCACACCGTGCGTAGCGGCGGGTTCTGGTTCAGGTCGTCGATACCGGGACACAGCCGGTCAGATCCTTAAAGCAGCTGCCGAACGTCGCGGCTCGTGCTCTTCACGCCCCCTTTTTCGCACCCGTCACTTCGTCCTTCACGTTCTTCCTTCCACAAAACCATGACAGTGACACATGGTTAATCATAGTGCCATGAAAACCCACAACTTACCATGCTTTTCAATTCTGTATATGACGTAACAGGGCTAGTTGGTGATCCATGTTTGTGTGTTTTCACATACACATATATGTGTGTTTTCTGAGAATAAACTTCAGTTGCAAGTAGCGGTCTGTGTTGTTCGTTTCTTTTACTCGTCCGTTGTTTTTAGCGCTTTTACCCTCACAAAACTGTATATGACGATTTGATCCATAGATAGAAATACAGCCGCCAATTTTTTATTTTTTTATGTAATATGTCCGCAATAGGAAGCGAGCAAGCCGGCCGTGTCGCGTCGGTCGCCTATTGTTCGCCGCGACCTAGCGGTAGCCGCCGCAGGAGCATCGGGAGCAATGGCGACGAACAGCACGGCAGGCTGTGTCCCCGTCGTGATTACAAAGGAATTTAAGGCAGTTACGAATTCGGAAAGTTCCTTCGATAGCCGGTGCCGTCGGCGCATAATCATCGGGAAGTAAAAGCAACGAACGCCACAGAGGACAGTGGGCGATTACGAATCCGGGAAGCTTCTTTGGTAGACGGTGCAGAATCATCGGGGGGAAGCAATGGCGATAAGCAGCACAGCGGACAGTGTTCCCGGGGTGATTACGACAGGGTTTAAGGCGGTTACGAATCCAGAAAGCTTCTTCCGTGGTACCAATATGAAGAAGGGAAAACTTTTTCGTGAATTTGGCCGCGTGTACGACGTGAAGGAGGTCCGTTTCGACGGACAAGTGGATGTCACAAAGCGCCGTACTCCGCTAACAAAATTAAGCGCGCCGGCAAAAAAAAAAAAATGCAGTTGGCGTTGAGTGGACTGCGGTAATTATGTAGGTTTATTTCTGAATCAGCTTGACAATAACTGGACGATTTCTTTCGCGCCGTTCCGCGATTCCCACTACTATCTTCCTGTAGGCTGATGGAAACATCCAGGGGTAGGCTTAGGTGGGCGACCGCATTCCGCTTCTCGATTCCGGTGAAGTATTTGCCGCATACTTTAGAGTTTGCCGTCAGTGTCGATGCTGTTCCATCGTCGCTAGAAGAGAAAAAAGAGTTAATTGTATTATTTGTCAGCAGCTTAAACAAAGTGCGAACTGGAAGATAAGAAACTCCACTAACCTGTATGGACGCACAAGTCGCACCCAGGTCGCGGAGTACTCCGCCTCGTACTAACGTCGAAAATTCGTCAACAAAACAGCTAGTGCGGTGGGAAGGGCTAATTTGGGACGCTAACCTAAGCGGTAAAATTTGGTGCAAAGCAACACTCCATGGAAGTAAAATACGCAGAGACACCGATGCTCTGTTCGCGCTAACAGTGCCGCGCATTGCACGCCCTCCCCGCGCGCGGACAGTACGAGCTGGAACACCCGATCCAACCTTTTTCTGCGACTCCCACAAGCTCCATTATTCCTCAACTTCGCTTTCTATTCCTAGTTCGGACCACAACTCTCTCAAAAACAGGTGGTAAGCCAAAGAAGCATGAAAGGCGTTTTCGGCTCATATTGTCCTCGGTAGTAGCTTTTCGTGTTTCCTAGAGGTTCACTGCGAGACACTCACAGCTGAAGTGGCCAATCGGCGGCTTCATCCAATTCATATCGTGTCCCTTAAAAACTCAGACTACGCGAAAAACTTTGCCGGCGAACAACCGGGTTTCCGAGTGAAAAACAACAGGCTAAAACGGCAGAGCACCGAGGCCGCATTTCAGGTGAGACAGAGTTCGGCAGTCAGGCGCGTCAGGAAAAACATTGCATCTGTACCTATGTGAACGTCTGTGGAAGAGGTAACTAGCCCAGAAATGCTCACTTCACAAAGCTTGCTGCTTCCGGTAGGGACGAAGTTTTTCCTCCCAATCATGTGGAGCCATGCCTTCTGCCTCTTCAGATCGGCTTTCCGAAGCGGAAAGGCGAACAACTTTTTTCCACTACCAGAACTCTGGCTGCACGCAAAAGCGCAACACCCCGTCATCTAACACAAACGCTTACTACTTCACTTGCCTCATTACGGTCCAGAAACACCAGGACGTCGAGCTAACGTCGTCGGCGAGTATCACGAAACACGGGAGCGGACGGAGCAGCCGAGCAGCTTGGAAGCAAATGGCGGACGGAAGTGGCCACAATTCCGGAAATCACGTGACATCGCTCTCCTTCAATCGAAACAGATGTCGGCGCGGCAAAGAATGACGGTACTTGTAAAACGCAGTGAAAAAACATCGAGTGACTTTACCTCGTACGGCTTCAAAGGGACGATGTAGTACTTCGTGCCGTGCGCGATCTTCGACGTATTGTTGCAGCCGACCACGCAGCAATTGTTGCGGCTTTCTTGGTGCGGAATAACCATCTCAGAAATTACAGCGCTAACCCACTACCAGGGGGGGGAAGGTGCCGCCGCTTCCAATACACCCTCCTCAGAATTTACGGCGCTCCGTGGGGGCCGCCATGTTAAAACTTGATACCAGTGTTGCTGCATCTGTAGGTCATCTTTAAGTTAGAGCTGACGGAGAAAATCTGGCCACGGCGCAGCGCCGATGTACGCTGGAAGCTAGAGCCGGTTTGCTTTCGTTGTTTTTGTTTGGTCGGAGAAAATCTAGCAACAACGCACGTTCAACAAGGCAGGGGACTCCAACATGGAAAGGTGCAGGAGGGCAATAGCTGAAAGGGTGAAGGGGGACGCCAGGGTCCGGATTGGGGTGTTGCCTGGACAGACAATGAGAGCGGTGGTTGAGGGGGTGAAAGATAAACTATGGGAGACAAAAGAAGGCCAAAACCTCGTGGTGATAGCGGGGGGACTGAACGATGTATTACGAGGGAACGGGGGAGGGGTGGGGAAGCAGTTGCGCAGGGGAGTGAGGGAGTTGAGGGCGACATCAGACAATGTAGAGATCCATGTCTGCACAGTGCCAGAGGTGAGGGGGCAGGGCGTTCACATCGAGAGAGCCGTGGTGGCCGCAAACCGGGACATCAGGAAACTGGGAAGGGAGATGGGTTTCGGGGTGATGGACATGAATTGGGAGGTGCGTAATAACAGAGCGAAGGCTTTCGAGGGGACCGGTATCCATTTCAGCCCCTACGTGGGGAGGGCCGTTGGGTGGCGGATGGCAGGGAAGGCGGTGGCTTTTTTAGGAGGCCCCAAAGCTCTAAGGGCGAAGAATCCTGCCAGGAGCGAGGCGAAGGGCCCGTAGGAGAGGGGAGGTGGGGTGGGCACATCAGAGGGACACCGGAGGGCAAAGGGGTAGAGGAGAGCGGCGATGTGGGTTTGGGGGAGGTGGCCAGGGAGGGTGGGAGGAAGCCACGCAGAAACAGGAAGAAGAAGCTACTTAACATAGCTTTCATAAATATGCAGGGGGGCAGGAACAGAATAAAGTGGGAGGAGATTGAGGAGCAATTAGAAAGCGAAAACTTTGCAGTGTATGGATTAGCAGAAACACATCTGAGGGATTTGGAAGAACCACCACACATACCGGGATATCATTGGATGGGATGCAACCGGGCCAACGGGGAACGCAAGGGAGGCGGATTAGGGATTTTAGTGAAGGGTCAGGAATGGGGAAGGGAACGAGAGGGCTGCAGGGAACACATGTGGGTCAAAGGCAATATTGGAGGTTTAGACACAATCCTGTGTTTTGTGTATCTAAAAACAGGGGGTGATGCAGGGGAGGAAAACGCAGAACACTTAACATGCATATCAGGAGACGTTAGGGAAATCGGCACTAACAAGGAAATAATTATCCTGGGGGACATGAATGCACATTTGGAAGACTTTGATGGACATACGGATACAACAGGGAGAATGTTAGAGGAGTTCTGTGAAGCTCTTGATCTGGTATTGGTTAACGCCCAGGTAAAATGTGATGGAAAAATAACATGGGAGAGAAAGAACTCACACTCGACTATCGACTACTGTTTAATGTCACGGAAGATATACAACAGACTTGGAGGTATGGAAATAGATAAGGAAAGCACAAAAAGTCTGGGGAGCGACC